AGTAATTTACGATTATCAGGATGCCGTAACTTGGGTATTCTGGCAATCAGATTAATTTTTAGGGGTGTTTTTGCAATTACCTCCGTTTACATGCTAAAATTGCAAACACTGACATAAGATCGTTACCAGGGTGCAGATAACTGTGTTTTCTTTCCTTAGGGGTGTTTTTTTTTGTTGTTGTTGCTGTAATTAGATTGATGGTTTGCAATAAACTATAGATGAAAGATAATTGTTGAAATGTACTTACAAGAGGGGCTTTGGTGAGGTAGCTGAGGATAGTGGCCACAGGGTGGAAAGAATGAAATTTGCTCTGTCAATGAACCCATAAAGAGAAAAGGAAAAATATCAATCACTAGTGCAAGAGCACAAAAATCAAATTAGACCAAAATGAAATTTTATATAAATAGACAAATTATTATGTCCAAGAAAAAGCAATTCAAGAGAGAGAGAGAGAGAGAGAGAGAGAAGTCAGACCTCGCCTTCGGCTTTGAGTTGAATGCGGGTGCTGAGTTCAGCAAGCAGGACCAAATCCAAGATAATGGGAGCCGCTAAGAGTGAGTCCTCGCAAGTGTTGTGCAGAACAATGGTGCTTTTGCCTCCCATGAAAATCTCAGACGTGTACTCGTCCATGGCTCTCTTGCTGTCCCCCACATACGGCACATACTGCACGCACACACACACCCATATTAATTAGTCAATGAAAATTTTGGTAAACATTATTTTGATGGCCAAGATTTGTCTGTACGTACCTTGATAACAACGACATGATCCGGGTGTTCTCCAGGCTCATAAAGGATGCCGTTGCTAGCAACCATGTCATCCACAACGTTGCTTTTCGAGATCTCTTTGGACCGGAAAGTTTGTGGTGCCGATAAATTCATTCCGTCATTGTTTCCCAAATGATTGTAGCTCACAATCGAAGTTGGCTGTAAAAAATAAATAAATTATAAAAATCACAAATCAAGGAAAGCTTCCGCAATCCCATGTTTGGCAACTTCAACTTATCTGATCGTTGTTTGTAATTGAACTAGCTTTGGACTATGCAAGGGGTAAAAGATGCATTATACCTTGATACCAGCTCCAACAAGAAAATCGACTAGCACAGATTTCATCTTGGTCTGGCCACTCTTGAAATCATCACCTCCAATCAAACTGTTCCTCTGAATGGCCAAATCAACCAACCCTGATCAACAAAAATCAGAAAGTCCATAAGTTATTTTTTTTTATCGTGTCCATAAGTTAGTATTAACTGCTTTTGACAAGGGAACATTATTATTAGTTAGATTTTTTTTTTATTTTTATTTTTTATTTTTATTATTATTATTATTTTTTCCTTCTAGCTTTATAGTTACCTGGAACAAAAGTATTTTGTGGGCTACCATTGATAAAGGGAACATTTTCAAGTACACAGGCTATGGCATACAAAGTTGAAGGGGATATCTCGGCCTCATTTCTGTCCACTGAGGCCATCAAGCTCTCGACTGTATCATTTAGCCCAACCACAACATTGCTGTACCTCTCTGTGTTTGCCGTCCACAACACGACCACCTTGTCAACCTTGTTTTTCTCCTTAAATTCCCTGTTACAAAATGAACATATAAACACAAGTCCCCCTATTAATAACCATATTTTTCTTTGTCTTGGAAAGAGCTAAACTTACGAGTAACAAGAAGCCCTCGGGGCCAAAATTATTGGTCAGTTTTATACTGCATTTTATAATCCCAACTTTCCCTAAGTGTGGATAATAAATTGTGGAAGTCTAACTTCGCTTATGTTTTTTACTTTTTCATACCAAAAGCCAAAAGGGCAAAAGAAGACAGCACTTGAAGAACTTAATTCCAAAATCTCTACCTTTTTTTTACTTCCTAAGCATTTAACTACATATCAACTCAACTATTTCTCACTTCAACCATGTTAAATCACTTCATTTGGAAAAACAAAAAGCTTTGGGCAAACACTCATTGCGTATACCTAATGTCTTTGATGACTTGTTCAACTTGTTCTTTCTTCGTTCCCTTGATCACGTTATTGGCACGCGAGCCCTGATTGGCTGCGATGAAATCCGGATCGTAAATTCCGGGGAGTGGGACCATGTGCTCCATGTAGGGCCTGAGTTGCCTTTGGAGATCAATGTCCAATACCTTGGCCCTACCCATGGCATCGGCCAAATTCATGTCGCTTATGTCCCATCCCCCAAACACGATGTCGTCAGGGTTGACCTAATCATATATTCATATTATTCACACACAAAAAATGTTGGGAAAGAATTATGACTATATATGTAGAGTAGTAAACGAAGACTAGATATTACTAAGGAGTTACCATGGGGAGAAGGCTTTTGAATGGTGCATATATTTCTTCACCATTAAATGAACCAACTCTAATCGATGATGCCTGTGTTAGTGACCCAAAATAATTGGCTTGCTGCACTTTGTCTTTCGTTGCCCATGAAATCCCTCTGCAAAAAAGTTTGCCATTTTCAATTCATTATCTTGAATCTTAATCGTTTGTCACACTTTCTATTCCAGGAATAAAGGGCCACACAGAGAAATAAAAGGAGTCACATATTTCCTCAAGTTTATCAGGGAAAGAAATAAATTACAAAAGAAACCTCTGAGATTTAAGGCTAACTACAGATCAAACCAGACTTCTGTGAACATTACAAAAATTCCCCTCGAGCATTGATTATTACCCATTTAGACTTCATAAAACCACACTCACATTTTTATAGTTTTTCCATGGAAACAATCTCAAGGTATCCGTTTGTAATTTTTGGAAAACTTGGAATTTTACATAAATACTTCAAATCCAAAGGGCTTTTCGACAGTATCCTTATACATCATAGTAGTGCCACAAAATGTGTTTTCTGGCCTCAAGCGAATATAGTTAATGGGACGACAATGACATGAACTCCATCAACCAACGTCTCAATGTATTGACAGTTTCTTCCAAGAATAAGGGCGAGTGTTCAACAGATGAGCCGAAAATGCGTTTCTAGGCTATGTTTGGTAAAACTATGTGATAAAACTAGCTAGTAGCTAATAAATTATCTTATAGCTTATCAGTAATTTTCGAGCTTATAGCTTATGATAAAAGCGTTCGATACAATTAGCTGATAAGCTAGCTGAAATAAAAATTTCAACGAGCTTATTAGAAAAGCTACCCAAATAAGCTTATGACATAGCTCGAGGTTTTTAAACTACACTCTTATTAATAACTCAAGAAATAAGAAACGATTATAAAAATCAAGACAAAAGACGAAGTAAAAACAAACAAACATCACATTGCACGCTCAAATGCCCAAAAACAAAAGGTCTACAGAGATCTATTAAACACTAATAAAATAGCAAAATAGAGCAAAAACTTACTCCCGATTTGCAATGACTCCACCTGTAAGCGTCGTGCCATTGTTACCTCCCCAGCCAACAAGCATAACCCTTCCAAATATCAAACAAAAATTGTAAAAAATCAAAAAATGAATCGAACCAAAAGGACAAAAATTGTGATTTATGCTGTATTTAGAGACGAAGAATGAAATACCCTAATTTGGGGACACTGCAATCGGTTTTGAACTCGTATTTCACAGTCTTGGGCTTCACAATCCACTGGTAAGCGCCATTTCTGTTCTCGTGAACAAGCTCTGTCGTCTCGTAGCTGTATACAGATCGAATTTCACCATCGTTGTACTCGACATTCGGGCTCTCGACCTTAAAGCTCTCGATAAACATCTTTTTGATTGTTTTTTTTTTTTCGATGTAATATATGATGAAAAGGGCAAGAGATTCAAAACGAGCACCGCGAGTTTGGGGGAACAAGAGAAGAAAATGTGATCTCTCTTGCGCTTCCTACTCGAGTACTCGGTGAGTGTAGTGTGCGACTAGGCATTCGCAGGAAGCCATGAATATATAGCGAAGCTGGTGGTACACGTGGCGCAGTCTCGTCTCGGCTCACAAACGAATTTCAATAATTTATGTTCTTTTATTTATTATTTATATTTATTTTTTGTTACGATATTGTATGTTCATACCTATTAGTCATGGACTTTTATAGTTGACTATACGAGAGTTAAATCGTGAGATGTGCTCTGTTGTCAGCTGTCCCACTCTCACTATAGCCGGTCCAGAAGATCTAACACCGCCCTTTTTATACCCTAGTAGTCCAGAAGGTCTAACGTCAAGAGATTCAAAACGAGCACCGCGAGTTTGGAGGAACAGAGAAGAAAATGCGATCTCTATTGAGCTTCCTACTCGAGTACTCAGTGAGTGTAGTGTGCGACTAGGCATTTGCAGGAAGCCATGAATATATAGCGAAGCTGGTGGTACACGTGGCGCAGTTGTCTCGTCTTGGCCCACAAACGAATTTCAATAATATATGTTCTTTTATTTATTATTTATATTAATTTTTTGTTACGATATTGTATGTTCATACCTGTTAGTCATGGACTTTTGTAGTTGACCTCTTGGCTATACGAGAGTTAAATCGTGAGATGTGCTCTGCTGTCAGCTGTCCCACTCTTATTATACCCTAGCGGTCCATAAGGTCTAACACCGCCATTTTTATACCCTAGCAGTCCAGAAGGTCTAACGTCAAGAGATTCAAAACGAGCACCGCGAGTTTGGAGGAACAGAGAAGAAAATGCGATCTCTCTTGAGCTTCCTACTCGGGTACTCAGTGAGTGTAGTGTGCGACTAGGCATTTGCAGGAAGCCATGAATATATAGCGAAGCTGGTGGTACACGTGGCGCAGTCGTCTCGTCTCAGCCCACAAACGAATTTCAATAATATATGTTCTTTTATTTATTATTTATTTATTTTTTGTTACGATATTGTATGTTCATACCTGTTAGTCATGGACTTTTGTAGTTGACCTCTTGGCTATACGTGAGTTAAATCGTGAGATGTGCTCTGCTGTCAGCTGTCCCACTCTCATTATACCCTAGCGGTCCAAAAGGTCTAACACCGCCCTTTTTATACCCTAGCAGTCCAGAAGGTCTAACTACACGGAAGTAGTTAAAAAAAACGTCACGGAAGTAGTTATTAGTTTGTCTCATTTCTACAAAAGGAGGAACTGTTTAGGGTTCCCTCCCCTTTGAGATAGGTATATACCCTAGCGGTCCAGAAGACTAACGCCATAGAGGTGATTATCAGTATGTCTCATTTTCTCCAAAGGAGGAAAAAGCTGCAGAGGGTTCCCTCCATTTGAGAATGATCCCCCTACGCATAACATTCATGCGCAGCGTGGGCGGTCATGCTACCAGAAGGCTATGCCTCGGGGGCCGAAACTTTGGATGGTAAACTTTTTATACTAGCTAGCTTCACCGCTCCCATCCTCAAAAAATCCGAACATCAGTTTGGCCATACGAATCAGTATACACCGGTTGGCTCTACGCATATGGAGGGACTTTTTTAGGGACATAGTTCTAGGGGTAACATTTGGAGAGATTCGAACCTGGGACCTCAAGGTGCCAGCAAGATCCTTGGACCAACTAGGTTGGCTCCAGTTGTTTTTGTTCTTTTATTTGTTCTACATTGGTTTGAGCAACTTTAATAGAAGCATTTGAATTTTGAAGAGGTTTAGGGCACGATTTAATATGAGACAAAATCAATTTTAATCAATAATTTAGGATATGATCAGGGGCGGAGCCACCCCAAAGGCTGGGGTGGGCTCCACTCCAGGTTGTTTTTTTTGTTCCTAACTAGTAAGTCCATTTATTTATTAACTCAGCCCTGAATAAAGTTCAGCCCATATCACATAATAAAGGCATATATTTTTTCTTTTTCTTTTAAAAAGTACTTAAAGCAGACTTTTTAATTGATTTTGGGTTGAATTTAAACTTGAAAACACAAAGCCTCTCATTTCGGTCTCTCTCAATAGCCTCTCTTTCTCTCTTAATTAAACTTTTTTTTTACTCACGCACAATCCTTTTTATTTATGTTATTTTTTATAATAATACTTTTCTTGACACTATATATCAAGACCCCTCTCCCTCTCTCTATCAAAGAATATTGTTTCTACTAATCAACTACATGTTACTTATTGCATACAATTCATTATATACATATTTATATTAATTAGTTTACAGAATTTATATTACCTAATAACTTATAATATTCACTTTTTTCTTTACATTTCTACAACATTTAAGGTTTATCCAAAGTTTTGAATATTGAACATGTTTAATATTTGGTTTAGGTATGTATACAGTAAATTCTAATACCATAATGATGAGTAGAGATGTAACAATAAGTGATATTCATTTTTTTATCCATTTTCCCCTTTTTTAAAATGTTTAAAAAGCTTTTAGACGAATTGTAAAAATATTAATAAAATTAATGATTATTATTATAGAAAATTTAATACATTCATAACTATTATGTTAATTTGAATATTATGATTATTACTTTTTATTTTATATTTGATGTATATTCCATACACAAAAATTAAAATTATTTTAATCACTTAAAAATTAAATATGAAAAAATTCAAAAAAAAAAGTGGGCGGAACTAGCCAGTCTAGCTACACGACTCAACTTTACAGCCTCATAGCTCTTGTTTAATCTTTCGAGAGCCTATGATTGTCGTCTCGACAAAAATCGTGGCAATCATGCAGGCGCTTAGACATATTTATAAAAAAACCTTTTTTGAATATTTGTAATGAACATGAAGCATTATATATGTATATCTTAGTAAAAATTTAGTGTCTTATATTTTTATTTTTAATATCAAATTATATTATTTAAATATTTATTGAAAACCGATTAGCCCAGGTAGATTTTTTTTCTGGCAACGCCCCTGGATATGATTGGCAAGTAGTTATAATTAGTCATAATCGATCAATTTTTTTTTACACATTTTAACTTAAAAATATAACTCAAATTTAAATCAAGTCCATTATCCTGAATAGTATTTAATATATTTAAATTTTAATATAGAAAAACCAAACTTTAATATATAACATCGAAAGATAATACGCACTTAAATTTTTAGAAAAAAAAAAATATACGTCGGTCACATAAAACATACATCACTGACTACCTGTACGTTGTGTTCCTCCATGACCTTGACAACATCGCCATCGGTTTTGAGACCCACTCTATCTAATTGACGACTATCAGCACGCAAGAAAATGTATGCATCCATGAGACTCTTTCCAAAAGCTCCCAAAGCAATCTCATCAGTTCTCCAGATCTTAATGACTCGTTGCTCCATGATCTAAATGTCGGGAACATTCTTGGAACTGGTTTTATAGACATGACTATTTCGTCTACATAAAAATAATTGTCTCGAGGAAACGACAAATGGAGAATATAAACAAAAGTAAGAAATACTTAAAACAACATATCATCACCGAATGTGTAATGAACATACCAATAATAACATAACATAAAAAATCATGGCTAGAACAATTGACCGTTAGAAACAACAACTGCCCTGCGTATTTCTTTTGTTTACCATTAGAATCGCACGACCTCCCAACTAAGCATCGAATAATGTATGAGCACCAATTCATCTTGTCAAACTCTAATAAATCATCAAACATGTGGACTAAACAGAAGTTTTCCATCCCGTTTAGACAACTATCGAACAAACATGTCACCATAATGACAATGAAGTGATGCTTGAACCAATCATCGTCATTCTAACACTCGTTAATCTTCTCTAACACCTTTGAATGTCGTAATATTCGTTGGTCTTTTGACATCTAATAGTGCAATCCACACATCCAATAGTTTAGATGTAACTCTTTGTTTTTATTTTAAATTTCAATCTCTCCACGAGGTAACCCAAACGTAACACACATGTCTTCTTCCTTAACATGTACTTCACCGTCATATAATTGAAGATATCTGTCCAAATGGTTGAAGTTATCTACCAACCTAAAACCAGTCTTTGACAGTTTTGTTTTTATGCTCAGATCCAATAATCACTCCAACCCTATTTCACGAACCGTATCATTCTTGACGTCTGTCAGGCCAAATATTGCCTTCACAAACATAGTTGTTGAAGTCCTCGTAGTCATACTCGAGAATATGTCGCCATAATCACTATTCACATCAATATCAGCACCATCGCGCACATCATGGTCATCAATATTTTTATGTTCTATTTTTTTTTAAAAATTTAGTTGGAGGTGAATTGATGGGGACGAGGCTGCCTTGGCATATTTGAATAAATTTGATCGACTTCAGATTTAGTTCTTTATTTATTTTATTTTCCCTTTCCTTTTATTGCTCTATTTCCTTATTTTTTATGTTAGACTAGGTAAGTAAATAATGTCCTTGCAGTTGTTTGACAAGTTTGGACTCTATTTTCTATTTATTATCTCGTGTAAGACATCAGAAGACATTGAAAAATTTTATGAAATTATCTGGTGTTCTATTTTCATGAGAGAGTATCTCGATCTTCCCTGCTTACGAATCACGTTCTACATCAGTTGGTATCCAGAGACCAGCAGCGATCCGCGATGCCGCCTAAGAAAGGTCAAGCCGTGAACGACGCCATTGACGAGCGTTTCCAGAGGATGGATGATCGCTTTGGCGGAATGGTCGAGCATTTTGTGGATCTTTCATCCGGGATGGAGGAGTTGCGGGAAGCGATGCGAACTATGATGGACGAGATGCTTACGAATCGTGTTGCCGGCGACCGGGACACACGTGGAGGGGCTCGCGGAGGACGTGGAGGACACGGCTTTGGCGGGGTGCCCTGCCACCGTTCACCACCAACTCTATCCGGCGACGATGATGATGAGGGGACGCTTAGCATAAATAATCCGTTCGCGACTGAGCGGCGCCGTCGACCTGCGGGAGATGATGGTGGCAGTCACGGGCGTTTTGACGCTGAATTTGACGATGACGAGGAGGTTGGCCAACACCGTGCCTGGGGGCGGGGCGATGAATCTCCACGGCGTCGTGAGGGTTTCGTTGAGGGTATGGGCGATGACAGATAGGGTAGAGACCGACGTGACGACAGACGCCCAATAGAAGGGGGCGATGGGTCACGTTGGGACCAAGGGTTTCGCGTAGATCTTCCGGAGTTTGCGGGCGGTACAGATCGGTCAGAATTCCTCGATTGGTGGGCTGCGGTCGAGGCCTTTCTCCAATTCAAGGATGTTCTGAAAGACAAGCGAATTGATTTAGTGACTACTCGATTTTGTGGTCGTGCGGCGGTGTGGTGGATGCAATTAACTAGTCGGTGGCATCGTCAGGGCAAACAGAGCATCACCTCATGGATGAAGTTTCGGGAATTAGTAGAACGTGAATTTGTCCCCTTCAATTTCGATAGCATCGTGTACCAACAACTAAAAAATTTGCGTCAGGGAGCACGTTCAGTAGATGACTACACCAATGAATTCTATCGCCTTCTAACTCGTGTTGAGTTACGCGAAACAAAGAATCAATTGGTGTCTCGTTATGTGGGTGGACTTCGTATGGGCATTCGTGACACTTTGAATCATTTTTGCACGAAGACGGTCTCGGATGCTCATCAATGAGCTCTCCTTCTTGAGTTGCAACTATCACAAAAGTCAGGACCCTCGTTTGCTTCCTCTTTACGACAGAGCACGGCGTTCAAGCCTGGTGGTCAACACATGCGTGGGTCCGAGACAGGCAGCGGCGTCGTGGGCCAAGGGGCTAGGGTGAGCCGGTTCTTGCCGGCAAGTGGGTAACAGCCGCGACAGGGCGGCACAGCGGGTCCGCAGACGGTGGCGCCGGGAGCACGTGCGGTGTCCGGTCTGAGGTGTTTCGGTTGTGGGGAAGTGGGACATCGTCAGGCGGTTTGTCCTAAAAATTCTAACCCTCGTGCTTTATTCTCGGAGGAAGTACTCGATGGTGTTGTAGATGAAGAGTATGGGGGGCGCCCATATCGATGTTGGACCGGGGGAGACTGAAGAATATGTTTCCGGCGACGTGGGCACGACTCTCGTACTTCGGCGGACGTGTTTGGCACCGATGGGTTCTGTGGATTCGGAGAGGAATCATCTTTTCGAGTCCACATGCACGGTCGGTAACAAGATATGTCGTCTTATTATCGACTCGGGCTCGTGTGAAAATGTTATTGCTCAAAAGGCGGTGAATATGTTGCAGTTGTCGTGCGAGCCTCATCCACACCCTTATAAGCTTGCGTGGATCCAGAAGGGTAGTGCGGTTTCCGTTGACCGTCGGGCACTTGTCATCATTCATCAAGATTCAATTGCGTGTTTGAGAAATTTTTATTCTTTTTATTTTGTTCGTCACAGAACTTCAACGTTCTTACATTGTTGACGAACTGAGTTTGTTTAGTTTCTTTTTTCTTTTTACAAACACTTTTTGAGTGCTTAGGGATTAAGTACTGGGTTTGCTCGGGGGATTCGAGTGTGTAAAGTCCACGAGACGTGGCAGGGGAGTAGTTGATAGGATCGGGTATAGTGTTGACTAGACTAGGAGAGAGTCCGAGTCGAGTAAGTCCAAGATGTATTTTGTGGGACGACGCAAAACCGATTTATCAATGAAAGAGCTCTGAGGGGTAGTGGGACCAATGACGAATGTACATTAGGTCAGAGGGGGCTGGGCCTCTCTGATTTTTTTTTAAAAATTATTATATATATACATATACAAAGAAGATAGTATAAAATATAGATAAAAATGTAAAAAATATTTATAATAAATAAACAATTAAAACTTATTTTCTATGGTATTTTAATTAAATTAATAATATTATGTATTTATTGAAAAATACCCTAACAATCTTATATTTTACATTTATAGATAACTTTTTGAAAATATTTAAATCTTTATGTCTCTTAATTGTAACTCAATTTAGTGATTAAACCGAGTAATTGGTTGATTTGTTATTTTTTAATGTAGATTTTAAACTTTATTTTCTCCGTAATCAGATATTTTATTTATTTTCTTGAAAAAAGTGGTCATTCGATATGCTCACATCAACAAAAATATTATACAATGTGTTGTAAAAGTTCAATTTAAATCAAATTTTCAACCATAAAACTAATTTTTCATAAATTATAGATGTTGAACTTATATTATAACTACATGAAATCTATTTTTTTTACTTTTTTTTTTATTTATTTTTTCTATAATTTTGAGGGTTGTACGGATTCTATATTTTTAGAAACTTGATGGTACATATATCAATATTTATATTTACAAGTAAACACAATTTTATATTAAATATGAGTTTCGAGTTAAACTACATGCTCGGTATTTAACATTTAAAATTGGACCCCCCCTAAACAAAATTTCTAGATCCGTCACTGAGTGGGACACTCCCTGAAGAAATATATTATTTGTATCGCTTTCGGTTTTAAGTTTTATTTTCTTGTGTTGCAACACGGTGTAGTAATTCAAAATTTCTGTGTTCTAACACAAGTTGCGTACTCTATACTCCTCCACCCATTGTTTCATTATGCTTTGAACGTGGTTATTTTGCAGCTATCCCAATAATAAAAATATCTATTTTCCTGCTCAAACATGTTATTTTGAAAGATGCATTCGACCTCTTATTTTCATTAACGTACATGTTAATATACAACTTTTTTAGTTGCACAAGATTGTATCTACATTAAGCACAAAGGGGCTGAAAAAAATTAAATTCGAATACTAATTTTGTTTTCCATAAATTTTCTTGCTACATATTTTTCTTCACTTCAAATTTCTTTCTCATGAAACAATGTGTGGTTAGCCTTTGCATTTCTCATCTAATCAATGACTTGGAATGCTTCAAAAAGTTGTTGAGAGGCTGACTTTTGGCATAGTCAAATATTTTCTTCACTTTATCTGTCATCTGTTTACAAACATTCGGAAAGGCAAATACGAAGGTTATATTTGGTAAAACTAGCTAGCGATAAACTAGCTTATATCATGTCACTAATTTTCGAGCCTATGAGAAAAGTGACTGGTAAAATTAGTTGATAAATAAGCTAGCTGAAATAAAAATTTTTACGAGCTTATTTGAAAAGCTACCCAAATAAGCTTATCAAATAAGTTCGAGCTTTTTTAAAAAAGCTCATCGTACCAAACGGATAATTTATGGTTTCTTTAAAAAAGAAAGGAAGAAAAATTGATTAGGGTTTTCATAAATAAGAAAATGCCACAAATTTTAGAGTTGATTCAATGTAAAACTTGTAAAAAATAGAGAAAAATGAGGAAACCTTTCCGATTCTTTGTCTTGCATAAGGGACAACCCTTTGTTGAGAAGTACTCAACGATGAAGGAGGCGATTTTCGGCTTCGTTCTTCTCTTCCATTATTTGATTTTGCTGTAATTGCTAAACCTAAACCCTTGTTGCTCAATCTATATGGACTGGATTGCTGTAAACATTTGCAAATTAATTACACAATTATGTAAGACATAAACCAATCAATTTAAGGTTATTGTAATTCAGGTAACTATATTGTTTCGAACTTTCAAACTGTATTGTCATACTCTAAAAAAAGAAAATGTGACATTTCATATCATAAATATGCATTCAATACTAACAAACAAATATGACGAATTAATCACCTAATATTAATAATACTATAAAAATATAATTGCGGAAATAGACTGCATACATCAGATTGTCAGACTATGTTTGGTAGACAAATAAGTTAGCTTATAACTTATTTAGTTAGCTTATAAGCTTCCTTTATTTTAAGAAGCCTTGTTTGGTAGGATGGGCTTTTTTAAAAATCTCGAACTTATTTGATAAGCTTCTTTAGGTAGCTTTTCAAATAGTCTATCTAAATTTTTATTCCAGCTAGTTTATCAGCTAATTTTACCAAACACTTTTATCATATGAGCTAACTTTTCAGCTATAAGCCATAAGCTATATATAAGCTATAAGCTTGAAAGTTACTGATAAGCTATAAGCTAGATTATTAGTTATCTTTAGTTTTATCAAACATAGTCTGAAAGTATCAAATATTTTTAAATTAACATACTTCCAATATTACCTCATTTAGTAACTAAAAATTGGAGGATAAATTTTTTGCATCTATTTATAGATGAACTCTCTGTAAATGAAAAAAACATACCATTAGGCTGCTTCTGCTTCTTGTAGTTACAGTTGAATTGTTGTGCCATTGCTCGTTTACTACATTTGCCGGTAAGCTTGATTCCTAACGAATTATTATAAACACAAATTAAAATTTTGTCGATCACATTAAAGAAAAAAAAAACGGATTGAATTAAATTTAGAAGATGAAAAATCAATACCAGCAGAAGAACAGTTGCACAATGCTTCAAGACTTCCAAATTCATTCTTACATCCTCCAAACTCCTAAACATCATAAGCAAACATGCATAAAATCAATAAACTTCACTTGCAATTTTTGTGATAAAATGAATTTAATTAGTCAAATAAGGGTCCAAGACATAAAATTTATTAAATATGTAGAGGTACTTAAATAATTAATATATGATTAAATTTAATCTGAGTCATTTTACCTATGCTTCTGCTGGCCAAGACCAAAATAATCAGCCAATGTTGCCATCTAAAAATTGCAAAATAAACTATTGGTGAAACATATAAATAAACAAATAATTTGAAAAATGTAGCTCTATATAGTTTTAATTGTTAATATAATTATCACAAAAAAAATAAAAAAAAAAAGAAATCACAAACCTTCATATTTCCAGCCCTCCTCCCAAATTTCTGGGTCAACACCCTCAATGAGTCAATGATCCCAGCGGGCCTCGGGCTGGGCCGGTTAGCCTGATCAAAGGCTTCCTTAATCCGGACACAATCAAATCGTTGGATGTTGTGGCCGGCCCATATTCTTCCATCCAGCATGTCGAAAATCTTATCCGCCACCTCATCAAACGAAGGCGAACGAGCAATGGCCTCACGTGTTATGCCTTGAGTACGCCCGGATCTCACGGGCACGATTGACAAGTCGTGTGGCCTAATTAAAGTGCAGTAGCTCTCGAGCTCGACTAGCTTTTTAGGACAAACGATTATGGCTCCGAACTCCAGGACACAAAATTTTTGCCCGGTTTTGGCAGGAACATTAGTTTCTAAATCGAAAAACACGATTTGAGGGGATATATTTGTACCGTTTGTAAAAGCCATTTTTTTTTCTATTGTGGTGTAATTTTTCTATTTTTTGGTTCTTGTAAACACTTCTGATGATCTTGTTAGGGTTTATAAATGTGGTTAGATTGGAAGAAAGATTTGAGATGAGGCATAAGAATATATTCTTTTGACATTCATGGGAGATAGATTGTCTTGTAATTCAAGTCTTTTGAGAAAGGAAAGTTTTACAAGAAAAGTCAATATAATTCCCTCTTAGATTGGTTTTGTGGCATGAACAGGAATAATATTATGATGACTTGCATGTACAGAAGTTGAGCAAACATGCAAACATGAGATTACAGGTCACAAGGTCACGTAAACTCGTTACATTTATTATGTACTTGTAACATTTTTCGACTTATGATTGCAATTTGCAAGACAGTGTTATAATTCAGACGAATTAACACGCAAACCTCATTTCTTCTCCATGCAATCAAATCGAAACAAGCAAACAACAGTTGCATGTTTTATGATTACAATTAAATTACAACTAAAGACATGTTATTTTTCTGAAAGATTTTTTGCAACCAGATTAAACACTAACTAATTGTAGGTTTAAGGGAAATAAGTGCTCCCTTAATTCTATCGAATGCGGCCCGCAGAGTGTCGAGGGACTCTGCATATGATATTCGAATGCAGCTATCATCTCCAAAGGCATCACCCGGGACGAGAGCAACCTATAAAGCCGACAGCAAAGTAGTTAGAAAATAACCTAATAGAAGGCTATAATCAGACAGATAAAAAGTAAAAAAGATATCTATTGTTTTTTTTTAAAAAAAAAAAAAGAAGTAGAACCCTGAGGTTTGTTTCGGACTACAAATTATCCTCTCCGGCGGTATTTGTAAAAACATAAAGGGTGTTACTATTCATCGGCCACCACCCCCTTATTACTACGTACCGTCCCCTTGAGACCATTTTACCCCTGTCATTTTTTCAAAAACCTCATAAAATTGTAAAATCCTCGGTACCAGGTGATTTTCGGAGAAAATGTATTCCGGCGAGGTATTTTGGCCGGACAGGCATCGGCCCCGGCGAGTTCAGACGTGGCTATAGGCTGCCGCGATCTGCGGTCGGACATGCACATGCACATCCGAACATGCCAATTGGATGCGGCCGAGCTCGGCCGCAATCGTTGTCGATCGCTAGCTGTCCGGTCGGCATTTTTTTATTTATTTATAGAATTAGATAATTGTACTTATAAAAAAATTAGAAATTATTGTATTATAAATTAGAATTGATTATCTTATTAATTAAAATTTATTACTATATGCTAGAAGTTGTTATGTTATAAATTAGAATTGACTAACTTATAAACTAGAAATTATTATATTATTATGGTATAAATTAGAATTGATTATTTTATAAATTAAAATTTATTATTACATTAGAATTTATAAATTATTATGTTACAAGATATAATGGATTATATTTTAAAATTATTAATCGTAATATATTGCAGGTGCCATTCGAAAATTTGGAGGAGACGGTGTTGATTACAATACCGCTTTTATTACAGATGGGTTACTTGTTAGTGATGATGACCACTATTGAGTGGCTAAAAGGAATAACAATTTTTTGGGTTTTCAATTGGACATTTCGAAACATAAAAAAGAAGGAAAATTGAACATTTTGAAGTGTAAGCGAAGGGAAAGTTAAAGAGGGAAAATAGGATATTTAGATCAGACAGCTTCAAGACATACAAAAACTAAAGCGGGCAAATGCCCCTTTGAGAGCAGTCAAATATTGGATGATCCGTGTAGGTGATGATGTTAAGAAGAGAATGCATAATCATGCATTGGTTGTGATAAATTCTAACATAATAAGTTAATCAATTATAATCAATTTATAAGTTAATCAATTATAATCTATAACATAATAATTTCTAACTTCTATCAAGATTGCAATAAATTCTAATTTATAATATAATCAATTCTAATATATAATATAATAAATTTTTAGGTTTTAACATAATAGTAATAAATTTTAATTTATAAGTTAATCAATTATAATCTATGACATAATAATTCCTAACTTCTAACATGATAGTAATAAATTCTAATTTATAATTTAGTTTATAAGTTAATCAATTATAATCTATAGCATAATAAGTCCTAACTTCTAACATGATAGTAATAAATTCTAATTTATAAGATAATCAATGGGAAAATTCTATTGGAAGGCCTAACTTTTAGTATACTTTTTCAACAGAAGGCTTACATTTTAGGTTATTCTAACTTTAAGGCTTGTTTTTATAATTTATATTTTAAATACTCATAATAAAAAATAATAATTATCTTTAATAAAATTATATTAATAAAAAATGAAACTATATAAATTACAAGGACGGGAAACTATATAAATTATATTTATGCAAAAAGTTTAATCATAAAAAATTACATCATTGAAAATAGATGTTTATTATTAGATGTTTTATATAGTTTGCATCATAATAGATGTTTATATAGTTTCGTTTTTTTATATAATTTTACTATCTTAGTTTCGCATCATTGTAATTTCAATGTTTTATCATTGTAATTTATATGGTTTCATTTTTAATTAATATAATTTTACTAAAGATATTTAGTATTTTTTATTATAAGTATGTAAAATATAAATTGCAAAATAATAATAATAATACTTTTATTCACATAATAGTTGTTTTACATATTTATATAAAAAAGTAAAGTTAGTTGGGCCTATAATGAAAAGTTAACTAAAAAGTAAGCCTT